GATTTACACGTGGAACGGGCCCCAGTGGAGTGACTCCTGATTTACACAGGGGAATGGGCCCCAGTGGAGTGACTCCTGATTTACACGGTGGGGGGGAGGGGAATGGGCCCCAGTGGAGTGACTCTTGATTTACATGGGGGAATGGGCCCCAGTGGAGTGACTCCTGATTTACACGGGGGGATGGGCCCCAGTGGGGTGACTCCTGATTTCCCCAGTTCCGCACTGGGCTCGCCGGAGGGTCTGTGTGTGGGGGGCTCAGTGGAGCAGGTTCGGGGTGCGTGTGGGGGAGGATCTGAATTGAAGGGAGTTGGGAGGAGGGGGGCAGCTCTCCATACAGTGACCCTCCCCCCCCCCCCCCCCCGCGGCTGAGGAGTGATGGGGGAAGGAAGCGGCTCCACTGCCTGGCTCTCCGCTCTCCGACCTGCCCTTAGGCAGCCCCCCTGGGCACACGGACCGGCAGGTGCACAGCACCTGACCTGGCTTCCCCACTTCCCCGCCCACGCTGCTCCGCAGGGAGGGAGCAGGGCTAAGGGAGGGGGTGCTCCCATCCCCCCACGTCACCTCTGCAACGTGTCCAGTTTGGGGGGGCAATGCCCCTGCCCCTTCATCTCTGCCCATGGGTGCAGTTCAAGGAGGGGGCGGGCAGGCTGTGGAGGAGAGCTCTCCAAGGGGCTGGGCACAGCTCAGCATGTCCCCCCCTGCCTGGACCAGGACTCACTAGCCCCGTCCTTGCCACTTCATCCCCACACACCCCTGGGAGGCAGGGCAGGGCTGCTAGCCCCATTGTCTAGATGGGGAAACTGAGGCACAGAGCGGCCGGGTGATTTACCCAAGGGGTCTGGGGCAGAGCAGGGAATTGAACCTGGGTCTCTTGCGTCTGAGGCGAGTGCACTAACCACTGCAGAGCACTGCCTCTCCTCTTAGGGGGTGCCTGGGGTGGGAGCGTCTGGGGTTTGCCTCTGTTCCTAGGGTTCAACTGAGAGATGGGGGCACGGCCCAGACCCCAAACAAGACTGGAGCCCCCTTCGCACCAGGCACTGGCCAGACCCCCTGGGCACTGCCCAGACCTCGCACAAGACCAGGGCCCCCATTGTGCCAGGCACCACACAGACCCCAATCGAGTCCAGGGTCCCCCTGTGCCGGGTGCTGCCCAGATCCCAATCGAGTCCAGGGTCCCCCTGTGCCAGGTGCTGCCCAGACCCCAGCTGAGATTGGGGCCCTGTTGTGCCAGTTTTGCAACAGTGTTAAAAAAGTCACACGTCTTTCCCCCCCTCACCCTCTGGTGATGCTTTATTCAGGGACGTTCTCACAGGAAATAAATCACCGCCCCCCCCAGCAGTTTGCGGCTCGCGCCCGATGCTGGATCTCGATCCTGGATCGTGCCGAGAGCGACGGCGACAGGAGCGACCCCCAGCCGGGCTCCGTGTGCCCCAGACCGTGGGTGGGCTGGGGCCTGGTGGCGGCGCTGGGGGGGCTAAGTGCTCTGCTTGGGGCCGGGTGGGGGGGCCGGGCTGCATTCGGACATTATCACGAAGTCGGTGAAGACCCCGTGTGACGGAGCGGGGAGCGGGGCGGATTTCACCTGGGAATGTTGCAGGGGGGTTGCATTGGGGATGGGGGGGCTTCCCTTGAAGGAAGCTACCTGAGCTGTAAGCTGAGCCAGGAGGGGGGTGGGAGAAGTGACACCTGCCCGGGAGACTGAACAAAGGAGAGGAGGGGCAGAGGGGAGGGGGGGGAGAAAGCGGCTGGAGGGTTTTTTGTTTTCGGTTTGGGCTGGGAGGTGCAACGCAGGGAACCCCAAGCTGGCGTCTAAGCTCCCTAAACCCCCCAGAAGGACTTGATTGAGGGGTTCTGGTTGTACCTATACGCTCTGCTTGGAACTGTGTTCCTGTCATCTAATAAACCTTCTGTTTTACTGGCTGGCTGAGAGTCACAGGGAATCTCAGGAAGAGGGGTGCAGGGCCCTGACTCCCCCACACTCCGTGACACCCCGGCAGCTTGTACACCCCCACCTTGCTGGCGCAGGTGCTTTTCGTGGCACAGCCGCGCACGGCGTAGGTGTAATTCCGGGTGCCTGAAAGCAGAGCGGAGAAGGGCGTCGCCGGGGGGATCACGTCCCAGAGAGTCCCCTGGAAACAGCCCCCTGAGACGCTTCGATTGCCACCAAACTCCACCGGGCACCTGCCTGCTGAGGGGACGGGGGCACCCTGATCCCAGCCCCTCCACCCCCCACAGCTCACCAGGCGGGAGGCCCTGTGGGTGCCGGGTACAACGCTGCCGGCCACTGGGTGCCCCGGAGGCAAGTCCCAGGGCTACCAGAGCCTGGCCAGCCAGCCCAGAGCCGGGACCTCACCCTCCGCCTGGCTGGCCTGCCCCGAGCCGGGACCTCACCCCTGTTGGTGGTTCTGGCCGGCCTGCCCCA